TTTTTTATGTACTGGAAGTATGGAACTTTCCCTCTTAAAAGGCTGATTCAGTAGGAAATATTAAGACTTACATCAAAAGATCTTTGTTGGATAAGCATATCAAGGAATGTGGAACAAAGGTAGGTAAATGGACTTATGATACAAGCCAGCCATGATCAGACTTAAATGGGAGAACAGGCCTGAGGTCTACTCCTCTCAAGTTGCCAAACTGCTCACTTATGTTTAATTTTGGATTTTCCGGATGCTGCTGTTATATTTAACGAGCTATAATAAATATTATTAAACAGAAGTTAATTTGGAGAGAATTTTTCTTTTATACCGAAAGAAAAGCTCTTCGTAAAACTCTATGAAATAAACTCTCTGTAAGAATAAATCAATCCATTTTGCAGCATGATTTAATCACAAATTGGCCAAAGTAACTTAGACCAGAGGGTGCTTCTCAATGCAAGTAACCAACACTTATTAAATTAAATTATTGCTTCTTGCAATTTATTGGACTATAAGATGGCTTGGGAGTGGAGGTGGGTTATGTACTAGAGTCATTGAGTCATATAGCACGGAAACAGATCCTTCAGTCCAACTAGTCCACACCGACCAAGTTTCCCAAACTAAACTAGAACCGCTTGGCTGCATTTGACCCATATCCTTCTAAATCTTTCCTATTCATGTACTTATCCAAGTGTCTTCTAAATGTTGTAAGTGTACCGCATCTGCCATTTTCTCTAGCAGTTTATTCCAAATACGAACCACTCCCTGCATAAAAAAGTTGCCCCTCAGGTTCCTTTTAAATCTTTCCCCTCTCACCTTAAAAATATGCCCTCTAGTTTAAAACTCTAGTTTCCCTACCCTAGGGAAAAGACCTTTGCCAGTCACCTCATCTATGCCCCTCATGATTTTATAAACCTCTATAAGTTCACCCCTCAACTTCCTAAACTCCAGTAAAAAAACCTGTAAGTTGTCATAAGGCATTGATGTTTTGCCTCACTGTTATTTTTCTTCTTACATTAATGCTGCAAATTCTGCGAGACAGGGAACTGTGGGCTTTGTATATTGAATGAAAACTGACACACAATAGATAAATCAGTGGGCTTGCTTAGTATGCTCAGCCTCCCTTTTTATTTCTGTGGTAGGCTTTTTCTGAGATGAAAGAGGACATTATTTTCCCAGTGAGACCTGTGCGTCTTTGAAATCTTTCCCACTGTCACTTTGTAAGAAACCCCTTCTTTCACATCGCTACAAATTATCAAATAGGCCTCCCGAGACTTTGGCCATGTGAACCAGACCAAGCAAAAACGCACAGCATTCTCGAAAATTGGTGCAGGGGCTGAATTTTCGCAACCCATTGGCAAGTGGCTGGGAGGTGGGGCAGGTGGCAAAATGCTGGGGAGGAAGGGGGCATCATCACAGGTACTGGTTCCTGATATCTTCTTGCCATCATGGTATATTCCCAGTTGCAGACGTCAATTGAGCCATTCAATGAGACAATTAAGGACTGCATTCTGCCCTCACTGCGTGGGGAGTCTTCCAGGTGACTACAGTGGCCTCCCAGCAGGATTTGATGGGGAGAGGTGCCCTCTTTGCTCGGATCTCCATTGCCCATGGGGGAGGGAGACAACCCCTCCTCACAATGACAATCGGCAAATCCATGACAACAGTTACACCAGTACTCCACAATCCCACATGGAGTGCCAGATTTCATTCTGATCCAAACTCATCCTGGTGAGATGTCCTGCTTTGAAAGCAGGCGGGCCCAGCAGTGGTGACCATACATGGATGATGCTTGAGCCCGCTTAGCGATCTGCAGCTCTTGAGGGACAAACTTTAGTCAGATGGCAGTGTCTTCATTGGTTGCTGCTACCAGGATGGTTTCCAGACCCCAGCATCCACCAAAGTAGCTTGCTTTGCCCTTTTGATCCCAGCACTGGGATTTGACCGTGAGTGGCAACACTTAGTCCAAAGTTTCTCTGCCTAGATCACACCTATGAGTTTCATTATTGAACAATTTAGCTGTAACATGTTTGGGTGACAAAGTGACACATTGTAATGGGACAGCATTAAACCAAGGACCTTGTTTTCTCCTGCACCATTTCTCTTATTCCTGGATGTTGTATAGGGTAATGATTCTAAAGGGATTAATGTTCAGGATACATTGGCTCTGCCCATTCTATTGATATCAAGCATAGCCTGGGTGGGGACAAAGAGTTCTCCTCCAGCTTTGAGAGGGAGAAGATTTATCCATACCAATTCCCTAAGTCCCAGTAATCACATCTGATCAAACGGATATATTTAAGGTCCTTGTGAAGATTTGTAGCTCGGGTTGTGGATGAGGTTGTTGGCTTGCTCGCCGAGCTGGCTGGTTATTGTACAGATGTTTTGTCACCTTGCTAGGTAATATCATCAGTGAGGCCTCCAATGAGGCGATGTTATTCTACTTCGCTTGGTATTTATATGATCCGGTCTGTTAAGTTGGGTTGTGTCATTTCAGGTTCTGTTCTGCGTATGTTTATATATGGGGTCTAACTCCCCATGTTTTTTGATTGCATTACTGATTGAAAACCAGTCCTCTAGGAATTCCTATGCATGTCTATGGTTGGCTTGAGCTAGGATGGTCATGTTGTCCCAGTTAAATGGATGGCCTTCATTGTCTGAGTGCACTGAGATGAAGGAAAGTTCATCGTGTCATTTTGCTGCTCGCTGGCGTTTGTGTATCCCGATGGTTAGTTTCCTTCCAGTCTGGCCGATGTAATGTTTGTTGCAGTCACTGCAAGGTATTTTGTAAACTACGTTGGTCCTGCATGTCATGGGTATGAGGTCTTTGGTCCTTGTGAGTGTTTGTTGTAGTGTAGCTGTCACAGCCCACAGCAATGACTGCAACAAACAATACATCGGCCAGACTGGAAGGAAACTAGCCATCAGTATACACGAAAACCAACTAGCAGGAAAATGATATGACCAACTTTCCCTCATTTCTGTGCACTCGGACAATGAAGGCCATCCATTTATCTGGGACAACATGACCATCTTAGCTCAAGCCAACCATAGACACGCATCGGAATTCCTAGAGGACTGGTTTTCAACCCATAATGGAATCAAAAAAACACGTGCAATTAGACCCCATATACAAACACATGCAGAACAGAACCCGAAATGACACAACCCAACTTAACAAACCGGATCATATAAATACCAAGCAGAGTAGAATAACATTACTTCATCAGAGGCTTCACTGATGACATTACCTAGCATGGTGACGAAACGTCTTATGATAACCAGCCAGCTCAGCGAGCAAGCCAACAACCTGACCAAATATAGTTATGCTTATTCCAATCAGGCAATAAATCTTGATATCTAAGAACAATGCCTCTTCTGTCGATACTGTATGGCGATACATCCTCTACCACTAATCACTGGAGAGACCCTGGACAAAGCAGGATTCGTGACAGTGAACTACCTCAACATCCCTTACCCAATACCACACGCTGATAAATATGGCAAATATCACAAGGAAATGGGTGTGGGTCTACTAGGACAATAGTCCCCCCATGCCACAAGACACTACGTGGCAAAACTGCAGTCTTACAAACAGAAGTTGGCCATTTAGCCCAAATAGCCCATTCCAGCATTTCTGCACCACTCCACCCCACCTTGTCCTTCCGTCTACCCTGACACCAGCTCCATTTTTCCACCTCCAAATTCTTCATCAGCCAGGGAAAGGAGAGAAGAGAATGAAGAGTGTGCTGGACCTGGATAGCTTTCAGTCAGAGTATTGTGTGCAGTTCTGGTCACCACATCACAGGAAGGATGTGATCACAACAGAGATGGTACAAAGCAGTTGAGGAGGATATTGACAAGACTGAAAAATTTTAGCAGAGGAAATATTAGCCTGGCAGTGATTGATTTCCTGGTATTGGAGGCAGCTCAGGAGAGCTTTAAGTAAAGTGTGTAAAATGATGAGGGGACTAAACTAAATAGGAAAGATGTATCATTCCCCCCCCAGCAGAGACGTCAATCACTAGTAAGCAGAAATTTGAAGTAATTGATAGAAGGATTAGAAGAGGTTTAGTGGTGAGGTTTCTGGAACTCACTGCGTTAAAGGCAGCAGAGACAGAAACACCCCTCACACTTATTAAGGACCAATTTGCTGTGATTTGCAAGCATGCAGACCTAAAGCTAGAAAACCGGAGTAAGCTAGACTGACATGAACGTGGTAGGACTAATAGCCTCCTTCTGCGCTGCAGGTATTGATGACTCTGTATAATATAGATGTGTGTAGATGATAGCATAAAATTACAAAAGGATGTTGATAGACTAAGTAGTGGGCAAAACTGAAGCATATTGAATTCCATGTAAGCAAGCATGAGATCATCATTTTGGACCGAAGAAGGATCAATCAGGTTACTTTCTAAATGGAATCAGATTAAATTCAGTGGATGTCCAAAGAGACTTGGGGGTTCAGGTTTATAGATCTTTAAAATGTCACAGACAAGTACAGAAAATAATCATAAAAGCTAATGGAATGCTGGCCTTTATATTTAGGGAATTAGAATACAAGGATGCAGAAGTTATGCTGCAGTTATACAAAACCCTGGTTAGGCCTCACTTGGAGTACTGTGAGTAGATCTGGACACCACACCTTAGGAAGGATATTGGAGGGAATACAATATAGGTTTACAAGAACGATACCTGGACTTCAGGAGTTAAGTTATGAGGAGAGATTATACAAACTTGGCTTGTTTACTCTAGAATTTAAACAGTTTAAAGGATGAGCTGATCAACGTCTTACAGATATTAACAGGAATAAACAGAGTAGGTAAAGATAAATTATGGTTTCTAGACCTAGGGGCATAGTATGAGAATTAGGGCCAGATCATTCAGGAGTGATATTAGGAAGCACCTTACACACAAAGGGTGGTAGATGTTTGGAACTGTCTTCCACAAATGGCAGTGGATGCTGGATCAGTTGTTAGTTTTAATTCTGAGCCAGTTCCTTCCATACTAACCTTCAAGGATAACATGCACCAAATCCTGGGCTGACATTCGACCTTTCCTTACAAAGCACTGATAGGCTCCTCCATCACTCTTTGCCAGTCCATCTATCATCAGCTTCTCGTGGTTGTTTCCGGTGATTCTCACGTTGTTGCCAGGGGTGATAATCTCACCGTTCTGATACCACTCCACCTCATACTCCTCCACTCCGGTTACTGTACAGGACAGCAATAACTTGCCACCGATGCTGGTTTTCACCTTATGCAGATTCACTGTTGCCTTCAGTTGCTCTGTGCATTGAAATAAAACAGAATGCATTCAGAATCTTATTGCTTGCAAAATAGGCATGGACACCATTATTAAGTCACTCTTGCAAACTCTGTGTAGATATAAAAGAGGAGAAAGGTTTTCATTAGTGTTTAGATCATAGAATCACTACAGTGTAGAAGCAGGCCACTTGGCCCATCAAGTCCACACTAATCCTCCAAAGAGCATCCCACCCAGACCTGACCGTGCATTTCCATTGGCTAATCCACCTAGCCTGTATAACTCTGGACAATTTAGCATGACCAAACCATTAACATGTAACTGTACCTCTTTGGAAGGAAACCAGAACACTCAGAGGAAACCCACATGGGCATGAGGAGAATGTGCAAACTCCACACAGACAGTCACTTGAGGCTGGAATTGAACCTGGGTCCATGGCACTGTGAGGCAGCAGTGCGAACCACTGAGCCACCGTGCCACTTCTTGGCCATAGAATTTGGTGTAGAGAAACAAAGAGGGCCACCACAGCACCAACGGAGCTGCAAATGAATACCCATAAATTTTATAATTTTATACCATACCCAAAGCTGCATTTTTTTTTTGCAGATTGTTCCTTCAAATTGAACATATTTTCTCGAAAGAGGATTGTACCTGCTTTCGATATATCAGAAGAATGGCTAAGTTTAACCTTCTGTTTTCAGCCTTTTCATTGAGGACTTACAATAACAATCATTCAGAACATCTTTTGGTGATTTATAAAGAACTGCCCGATAAGCACAACTAAAACTTGGATGAAATGTACAACCCTGCATTGCGTCAAGGTGCTGTGTGATTAATAGTTTGCAGCCATTATCAAGGTTAGGTCAATAGTTAGCAAGGTTTCCAGTCTCCTATTAACTGAACAATCCACTTTAGATTGCAGGTGGCTTTGAGAAAGAAAGGTGGATGCCAAAATGAATGGCCATTGAGAGCATAGTATGTTATAAGTGCCCTCCTTATACCCCTGTTTATCAGTAAACTAGTAAGACAGAATTTTAAACAATCCATTTGTGAATATCTTTTCCTGGACAAAACGTCAATGCTCATGCTCACTAAATTGGATTCAAGTCCAGCACAAGCTCCATTTTCAAGTTGTCATCCTTATTTTCAATTCCCTCCATTAGCTTGCACCTTCCTCTCTCTCTCTCTCTGTGATCTCTTCCAGCCCCACAAGCATCCAAGATATGGGCACTTCTTTAATTCTGGCTCATCTTCAAACTCATTTGTAGTCGCTCTGTCATTGGTGGTCCTGCCTTCAGCTGCATGAATCTTTGGAATTTCTACTCAATACTCCCTCAAAAGCTACTTTCTTGATGACTTCTTCTAATATTTCCTAATGTGTTCATTGCCAAGTTTTGCTTGACAACACTCATGTGAACTTTCTTGGGAGGTTTCACGATGTTAAAAAGTGCTAGAAAAATGTAATTTATTGCTTTTGTTCAAAATGACTCTTCATTTTCTTCCCCCTATCTAAAGAACCTGGCGGCCTCAAAGTCTCCTTCATCATTAATTTTTATTACATTTCAGTTTTGGGAGCTTGGACCATTTGAGAATACTTCTTGCATTATCAACAAGATGCCAAGATGTGGGAGACATTGCCTGAAAAGCGGTGGAAGCAGATTCAATAGGAAAAGGAGAAATTTGTGGAGCTGAGGGCAAGTGTGGGGCTAACTGGACAGCTCCTTGAAAGAGATAGCACTAGCATGCTGGGATGAATGGCCTCCCGTGGATCATGGTCTGCCTGCGATGAAGCTCAACAGAATGCGAAGTGACTGGGAATGTGTAGAATATTAGAAGGGGCCTAAGATGAGCATGATCCAGTCAGTTAAGAGTCATAGAGATGTACAGCACAGAAACAGACCCTTCAGTCCAATTCATCCACGCTGACCAGACATTCTAAATTAATCTAGTCCCATTTGCCAGCATTTAGCACATATCCCTCTAAACTCTTTCTATCCGTGTACCCATTCAGATGTTGTTTAAATGCTGTAATTGTACCAGCCTCCACCACCTCCTCTGGCAGCTCATTCCATACATGTACCACCCCCTGCTTGAAAATGTTGATGCTTAGGTCCCTTTTAAATCATTCCTCTCTCACTTTAAACCTGTGCCCTCTAGTTTTGGACTACCCTACCTGGATGAAAAGACCTTGGCTATTCATCCTATCCATGCCCTAATGAATTTATAAATCTCTATGAAGTTAGCCCTAATCTTCCGGTGCTTCAGCGATAATAGCCGCAGCCTATTCAGCCACTCCCTGTAGCTCAAACCCTCCAACCCTGGCAACCTTTTCTGAGCCTTTTCAAGTTTAACGTCTTTTCCACAGCAGGGAGACCAGGTTTGGATGCAAAGTCAATAGTAATCTCTTCAACTGAAGGCAGCTAGTGTGTGCACCAGCTGTGATCATTTACTTACGTTTTACATTCAGGCGGCCAATAATCTCTGCATTCCCAAAGCTGTTCCACACCTCGCAGGTGTACCTTCCTGTGTCTGCTGGCACTGCCTTCACAATGAGTAGCCCAGTGACAGTTTGCCTGAACCTGTTGTCCCGTGCCAAGGGGGCATTGTCCTTCACCCAGCGGTATTTTGGTGCAGGATGCCCAGAGGCTTTGCAAGGCAACTCGACCCGCTGGTCAGCCATGACCAGCCGATGATCAAATCCATCCAGGATTGTCGGAGCTGAGTTAGCAGGATCTGTGGAGAGATTTGCAGATGTATTTTACGACAGAGATTACACTTGTGCTTGTGTAATGGAGGAGGTGATGGCCTAGTGGTGTCATCGCTGGACTGTTAATCCAGAGACCCCGATAATGTTCTGGGGACCCGGGTTCGAATCCTGCCATGGCAGATGGTAGAATTTGAATTCAATAAATATCTGGAATTAAGAGTCTAATGATGACCGTGAATCCATTGTCGATTGTCGGAAAAACCTGTCTGGTTCATTAATGTCCTTTAGGGAAGGAAATCTGCCATCCTTACCTGGTCTGGCCTACATGTGACTCCAGACTCACAGCAATGTGGTTGACTCTTAACTGCCCTCTGGACAATTAGGGATGGGCAACAAATGCTGCCTAGCCAGCAACACCCTCATCCCGTGAATGAATAAAGGAAAAAAAAAGCAACTAAAGAGAAGCTTCAAATTACCAGTTGGCAAAGTTGGAGATTTTCTACTTTCAATACTCAAATTACAGGCAGTTCCACTTTAACATTCCCTCCCTCTCCACCAGGTGTTGGTTCCTGCTGCATTGGGTTGGCAAGATGCCCTTTGTACTACACTTACAGCACCCGCCATCCATGTATGTTTGGCTCAACAGTGAATGTTGGCAGCAAGTCAATCAGGGAAGGCACCGTAGTTGAAGCTAACCAGTACTTAAAATTTCCAACAATCAGGCTGGAAATCCTAGCTCCTGTTGTCATCCCAGCCAGAGATGTTATAGTCATCCAAAGCAGTGCTGGGTGCTAATTTGATGCTACCACCTCTAAATTAACAGATACTGAATTCAAACTTCACTCCAATTCAAATCACACAATCTAGTCTGCTACAAAAATACTAGAAATGCTGTAATTGGCTGGTCAGACAGCATCAGGGGAAAAATAAAATGGGGTAAGTTTCAGATCGATGGTGTTTTCTCAGAACTGGTGATGATCTTTTGAGAGTGCAGATGTCTGGTTATCGATCAGACAGGTCAGCTCAGTGCTAGATTGCACAGATGCTGCCTGGTCACTACTCAATCTGTTTTCTGCCACTTCTTTTGTCAACTGGTGTCATGGCAATTTATACATTCACCTCAATTGTGGCTTAATCCCACTTTTGTTTATGCTTTTATGGGATATGGATGTTAGTGGACAGGCCGGTGTTTATTAACTGTCCTGTGAAGGTGGCCATGAGATACCTTATGAACCTCTACAGGACTTGTGATGTGGGGACACCCACTTCATTTTTAGAAAGGGGGTTCGATGATTTTGACCCAACAACAGCGAAGAAATGGTAAATAGTTCCAAATCAAAAGGTGTGCAACTCAAAGGTGGTGTTCTGATATGCCTGGTACTATTGTTCTTCTCGGTGGTAGGGGTCATGAGGACAAATATTCTACTGATTTTAAGCTAGGCCCACTATTAGCCTTATTTAATACATATTTGGCATGCAGTTCTGGTTTCCCTGCTAAAGGAAGGCTGTTGTGAAACTAGAAAGGCTCCAGAAAAGATTTACAAGGATCTGGCCAGGGTTGGAAGGTTTGAACTGTAGAGAGAGGCTGAATAGGCTGGGGCTATTTTCCCTGGAGCATCGGAAGTTGAGGGGTGACCATATGGAAGTTTATAATATCATGAGGGGCATGGATAGGGTAAATAGGTGAGGTCTTTTCTCTGGCATAAGGGAGTCCAAAACTAGAGCACATAGATTTAAGGTGAGAGGGTAAAGATACAAAAGGGACCTAAAGGGCAACTTTTTCATGCAGAGGGTGGTATATGTATGAAATGAGCTGCCAGAGGAAGTGGTGAAGGCTGGTGTAATTACAACATTTAAAAGGATGGATGTATGAATAGAAAGGGTTGAGAGGGCTATGGGCGAAATGCTGGCAAATGGGACTAGATTTATATAGAATATCTGGTCGGCATGGACAAGTTGGACTGAAGGGTCTGTTTCCATGCTGTATATCTCTATGATTCTATGTATAAACATGAGGCATTGACTGAATTTCCAACCATCTGTATTCTCTCCCATTATCCAGCACTTTGTCCATAGCCTTGTATGTCTTGGCATCACAAGTGCACATCTAAGTTCTTCTTAAATATATTGAGGGTTTCCACCTCTACCACCCTTACAAGCAGTGAGTTCCAGATTCCCACCATCCTCTGGGTGAAAAGGTTTTTTGTCACAACCTCTAAACCTTCTGCCCCTCACTTTAAATCCAAGCCCTGGTCATTGATCCCACCACCAAGGGGAAAATTTCCTTCCTGTCTACACTAACTAAACCTCTCATAATTTTACAAATCTCAATCGTGCCTCCCCTCAATCTCCTCTGATCTGAGGAAAACAACCCCAGCCTCTCCAATCTCTCTTCGTAACTGAAACTCTCCAGCCCAGGCAACAGCCTGGTAAATCTCCTCTGTATCCTCTCCAGTGCTATCACATCCTTCCTATAATGTGAATTCCAGAACTGAACACAATGCTGTAGCTGTGGTGTAACTAACATGTTATACCAGTCCAGCATCGCCCTACTGCTCCCTGTACCATCCAAACAGTACAGATCCCATTTTCCCCAGTGCTGCTTTCAATGCCCATGATTCAGAACCCACTTGTCCTGGACTAGTCTTTGAGCCACACATTTACTTCTCTAATCTTATTGATCCTATGCAAATTTGCACATGGCTTTCTGGAGAATCAAGTGACTTGGAGAGTAGGGAAGAAGGTGAGTTGGAGTCTAACAACAGCCATGATCATATAGAAAATCGGAGTAAGCTATTCAGCCCTTCGAGCCTGCTCTGCCATTCAAAAAGATCATAACTAATCATCTAACTCCATTCCCTGTACCCTGCATTAGGAGGTGGTGCAGGTTTGATGGGCTTCTGCTCCAGTTTATTTTCTTTCTGGTATCATCTGTGCAAAACTTCCCATCTTACACTCTGTCCTGTATACTTTTCTATTTGTTTGTTTTTGTTACATAATACAACAACAGAATGAGGTCACGTAGCTCATGGATCCAAATGGGAACATGGCAGAGAGACTGACCTGACACAAATAACCGGGCGCTGTTGCTCTGTCTTGTTTCACCAGTGTATCTGTGCCGTGTGATGCAGCGATAATTGTACAGGCCATCCTCGTTCTGTACGTCTAATATATACAAGGCTCCTGTAGGTGTGATGTGGAATCTAGATCCTGAAAAACAGAATAATTAAAGACACATTTAGCTCATTTCCAGACAAGCTCATTATGAATCAGGATTACTGTAGAGATGAAATTAATCTCTGACTTTGCTAGATTTTATTTCTGTTGGCTTGGGAAACATTGCCAAAATTTGTAATTTCAACCCCTGTGAAACTGCAGACTGTGCAAGCTATCATTCTCTGAACTGTTGTATAGAGAAGGTCAGTTGTTATGAAAAAGCAGCTGCAAATTCACCGCTAAACCATTCTGCACTGCAAGCATAGGCCAGCTCCATTCTCCCTTTTGTTTGAGTGGCTGAAAAAGAAAGTTTGATAAAATACTGAGTTGATTTTTTTTCACATTTTTACTGAATGTCAACAGATTTCTGTCTTGATTAAGTCATTCTAGCCAGACTATGGTTATACCTTGTGCATAACAGTTTTCTTCCTTGTCTACATTTGAAGGCTATACTTTGACCAGAATTTTCTCTGATAGGCTCTTTGAATCAAAAAGAAACCAGAACATAATTGTATCCCTGGTACAAAGTCTTGCAGGACATGATCACGGCTCATGAACTTTATGTTACTGGGGAGATTCTGTGATCCAGGATCATTTCCTGGCTTTGGGCCAGTTGAATAAGGTAAAGCAATTTCATCTGGTTCAGGAGTCCGTGGTAAGAGATCATCAACCAAAAGACTGAGAATATACCAGAAGAAATGACCGAGGGATGTGAGAAATTTGAAAAACTAGCTCAAGTAAGTAGGGGGAGGCAATGGCCTAGTGGTATTATTACCGGACTGTTAATCCAGAGACCCAGATAATGTTCTGGGGACACGGGTTTGAATGCCACCAGGGCAGATGGTGGAATTTGAATTCAATAAATATCTGGAATTAAGAATCTAATGATGACTGTGAATCAATTGTCGGGAAAAACCCATCTGATTCAGTATTTAGAGATACAATTTGAGGAATAAACATTTGCTTTATTTAAGTAACTGTTGGCATATTAGCTATGTCCCTTAGTACTGAGATACTTAGGGGAGGCGATGGCCTAGTGGTATTATCACTGGACTGTTAATCCAGAGACCCAGATAATGATCTGGGGACCTGGGTTTGAATCCCTCTATGGCAGACGGTGGAATCTGAATTTAATAAATAGCTGGAATTAAGAATCTAGTGATGACCATGAATCCATTGTCAATTGTTGGGGAAAACCCACCTGGTTCACTAATGTCCCTTAGGAAAGGAAACTGCCACCCTCACCTGGTCTGGGCCTACATGTGACTCCAGACCCACAGCAAATGTGGTTGACTCTTAACAGTTAGCGATGGATAATAAATGCTGGCCTAGCCAGTGATGCTCTCATCCCATGAATGAATAAAGAAGACAAACAGCCAGCATGCTGAGGAGATGTAGTAGACCAGGAAAAACCTTAAATGTCATCCCTGGCATGCGATCAGTGACGTCAGTTCACAACCACAACTAAGCAAATGCCAAGGTTCACATTATTGGTGGTTCCACAGATAAATATTTATGTTTGGGCACAGGGTCTTAATGAAGTCACATTTGTCTCTGATGCTTTCCATAGCCAAATAATCTGCTGACATCAAGATATATTACCAGTGCAAAAGGAAGCAATCAACATATCTGCTGGTTCGTACAGATGCTGGCTGGCTGTAGAGAAGCTTTCAATTTTATTTGTTTTTCATTTAGAAATGGACACGATAGCCAATTAGTTGTGGCATTGGACTGTCAATTCAGTAATCACAAGCTTGCCTGACATGTTGTAAAATAGATTTCAATAGATTTGTGGTCTAGCAGCTGATAACAAACATAGATACATGAAATGAGGAGGTATAAAGTGGGAACAATTATTTCTTTAGTATTCATACTCAGCAATGATCTAAGCAATTAAATAGTTCTTTAAAATGAAAATGGAACCTGCGATTTAAAGGACTATTTTTCCGCATGTACCTCATATTTAATGAGAATAGCATTGTCTTAAATGTCTCTAAGTACAGGCAGGTGAAAATTTGACTTGAAATACAGGCCTATATGAAGATTAACTTTGCTGAAAGACTGCACCATTTAGGTTATGTTTTACCCTGATGGCAAATTACCCACTGGAACTCAATCCCGATTCTGTACTACCAAATAATGTAACGCACTGCCCAGACAATCCAATAAATAAAATCAAACTGACATGTTAAACCATTTTTTCTTCCTCTCTATCATTACTAACTACTTCTATTAGACAGCTGGGGCTTAATATCAAAAGCAAATGATTTCTGAGCCTGAGAAATAGTTTATTTACATTTCACAGTCTCAAGCAAGTGAAGAGACGACCTTTGAAATCTTTTGATTCTATTCCTTTGAGTTTTAGTGCAGATTGAATAATTGATTGTTACGCAACTCAATAATCCCGAGGAATATATGCAAGAACTGGCTGATTAACTCTCTAAAAGGTCAAGTCAACCTGACACAGAATATGCCACATTTGTCTTATATAAAAGATACACCTGGCAGACAAAGCTACTGGAAATCAAAGAAGAGACTAATGGAAACAGTCAGTTAGTTTGTTTAGAGACAGTAGTTTAAATGATGTGAGAGCAAGTAACATGCACGTTCCAACCTGGATATACAGAGGGAGCTGTTGGTATGTTTCATTTCACTCATGCAGTTCAAATTTTAGTTGCTTCAAACTTAAGTAATGTCTTAAATTGGAAAGGCCGTGTTTAAAGCTACCCAATGGTACCCATTGCAGCCCATCGGACTGGTTCAAACGATTCTGCTTAAATATGTACTGGGTTGTAGAAGCCTGATTTTTCCTCATGAATATGCTACTCCTCCTTGTCAGAGGGTTGCTAATTATAGTTATTTCCGTGAAATCACCCTCAAGCTATAAAGGCATTGAACCCATAGTATTGGCATTAATCTGCATCTCACTCTAACCATTTTGCCAACTGAGCTAACCAGCCTTTCCAAACCTGACAATCATAGCCAGAGTGTCTCTGCAGGGGGTTAGCTCCATGTTACTGATAAACTATCCATTGACCCATCAAAACTGCCATTCCCTAGGAATCAAATTGAAAACTGGGAAATCTGTCAGTGTTGCTGGGTCAAAATCCCTAACTTCCTCCCAAATAGCATTGTGGGTGTACCTACACTAAATGGTTTGCAGTGATTCAAGAAGGCGTACCAGCCAGCAACACAGATAGAAACATAGAAGTTAGGAGGAGGAGTAGGCCATTTGACCGCCTAGAGCCTGTTCCTCTATTCAACATGATCATGGCTGATCATTGATCTCAATATCCTAATCCCATCCTCCACCCATATCTCTTGAACCCTTTGGCCACAAGAGCAACATCTACCACCTTCTTGAAAATGTTTTGGTGTCAGCTACTTTCTGTGGTGATGCATTCCACAGGCTCATGAGTGAAGAAAAATCAATTGGGAATTCTCCCAATCTACACTGACTCATTCCTGAATGCAGTTACAAGTGCATCCCTAATACCTTATGTTTTCATGTGTAGGCCTACAGTGAGTGCTCATTGATTGCTTGCCTTGGGGACCAGTTTAGCCTGGTCCAGTCTTGTTACCATTCAACCACTCAAACGTTTGTCTATATTTCCAGGATATTAACAGAGATCACGAATGAACAGAGAATAGGAACCAGGGTTGATTTATTTTCCTGCCCTAACTATGGACACAAATACCACTCATTGCTGCCTTGATGTCACCCAGTCTCGTATCATTTAAAAATTGCCAGGGCTCAGGAATTGAATTAGAAACGTTATACTCATCTAAACATCAGTTTCTCATCAGGAAGTGCCCAACTCATGCTGGGCCTGAGATCAAAGTGCCCTTCCTATTCCAAACATCCGTCACAAACCCTGCCAGTTTTTCATTGATTCCTGATTTATTCCATAGATAACTGCACTATCAAGTGGTGCAACACTTTACCCAGACAACTCAATAAATAAAAATCAAACTGACACACTAAACAGACAAATGTGAAGAGATGATCTTTGAAATTATTTTGTTATAGTCCTTTGAATCCTGGAAGGCTATTTCATGAAGAGGATGGACAGGCAGGTCAACATTGGCTGGGCCTCCACCTGGGCTGCTCAATAAGTCGTTAGTAAAAGCAAATACTTGGTTGAACAGCCACATCATCTGGATATCTAATTGTATTTTACAGCTAATTTTAAGTACTTTGTGTAACTTTGTTTGTAGGCATATATACTTATGTCTAAGTAGAATCACAGAATCTCTACAGTGTGGAAGCAGGCCATTTGGCCCATCAAGTCCACACCAACCCTCCGAAGAGCGTCCCACCCAGACACAACCTATCCTATCCCTGTAACCCTGCATGTCCCATGACTAAGCCTGCTTGCCTGCACCTCTTTGGACACTATGGGCAATTTAGCACGACCAATCCACCTAACCTACACATCTTTGGATTGTGGGAGGAAACCAGACCACCTGGAAGAAACCCAAGCAGACATGGGGAGAATGTGCAAACTCCACACAGACATTTACCCAAGGGTCAGATTGAACCCAGGTCCCTGGTGCTGTGTAGCAGCAATGCTAACCACTGAACTCCCCATGCTGTCCAGTGTGTGAGAGTGTGTACTAGTATGTATGTGCAAGTCAATGTGAATTTGTGTATATACGTATGTAACTGCACTTGTGTTTGTATGTATTTTTGTCTCTATGTTTGGGTGCTTTGTGCATATACAACGATTCAAGTATGTATTAAGTGCGTGAGTGTATGTGTGTGTGTCTGTTTCTGTGTGAGTTTGTACCTATGTCTGCACGTATGTGTGTTTGTGAGTGTGTAAGTATACATTCATGCTTGAAATCTGTGTGTGTATAATGTGTTGAACGAATCAGAGATGTTTGTTCATGAACTACGGCAAACAGCCAACTCAACATAATGATGTAAAGTAAACGTTTCTGTATGTATATTTGCAACATTGCTTTGTGAAGGAAGAACATTTTTTATTAAT